TATTCATCTTTATTATCTTTATTATTTACATTTTTGATCTAGAGATTTAAACTATATTCACTATATAGCCTACAGTGATTAACAAATTTATTAAAACAAATTTATGTAAGGCCTTTAACCAATTTTGTAAGGTTTGTGCCACTGCTGCTCTTAACTAACAGTATTGGTAATTGCCAAAATTATTTTTTAGCTTTCTGTATTGGTTAGTCCTCCAATATGCGTAAGCTCTTTAGTAACAGTAGTAGGCTATTTTTAATGCTATAATATAATTATTGCTGTTATCTGTGAAAGAAAGGCAGAAAAAAATAGTCTGTACAGCCCTAATAGCTTGCATTTGCAAGGTATTTATTGTAGAAAATGGTTATTATAAAACTAAAGAAAAAATGAAAGAATTTTTGACTAAAAAAATGCTAGGAGAATGTATGAAATATGTTTCTATGTGTGTATTTGGTGTGTTTCGGTGTCTTGTGAAGGATAGAAAGGCTGTTTGTTGGTGTAGTGACCTGCCCACAGTAGATGAGAGTCTTTAATTGGGCCTTTGTTCACCTAGCAGCCGTTGACATGGTTCCTGGGAAAGGCTCTAGCACTAGCAATGTCAAACACCTCAGAAACACAATCAGGTTTTTGGAAGTTTGTCTAACAAACACAGTAATTGCGCTGTGTGTGTGTGTTGTGCGGTGGACTGTGGAAAGGTCTGTTCAGCGTGTGAGGGATTAGAAAAGTGCTTTTGATGAAGCGGAGCGGCTCAGTGACCAGCACCTCGCTCAAGACCTCGCTGCTACTGTGTGTGCGAGTGTCACTCTCTCTGTCTGATAGAGATGTCGGGCTGCATGCTGATCTTTTATTCATCTTCGCTCAGAATGCGGTACGTCTGAGCCGCGTGTAGGAGAATAACCCGGAATAACCGATTCTGACTCCATCGTCTCTACAAACTCGCACACAGTGCACAAACCATTTAAACCTTTTAGTCGTTCTTACAGCGATGGCACCGCAGACGGCAGCCTCAGTGTTTGGCTCTCCAGTGTTTGTATTGTTTTTGTTAGTTTTTCCTGTTTTTTGTTTCTCAAACACGATCAGTTTTACCAGGGATGAGCTGCTGAACATTCGGCAGAACACGCCACACAATCTTCTACCGGATTTCGTTTATTCGGACGTTTTGCTGAACGTTGTAGTCGGCGGAGCTGCTGCGCTGATCAAGCGCTTCAGGACGCGCAGACGGGGGAA